GCTATATAATCAACTTAAATCTGTTAAATCCATCATGCAATGCATTTCCTTCCAATTTTTTGTGATAAACTAATAGATAATTGACTAAATAAACATCCTGCAAAGTTTCAATAAAAATTTCCAAGTTTTTCTTACAATTTCCGTGGTTTCCATGTAATTTTTATCGATATCGATATTTTACCGATATTTCCATCGATATTTCCGTGTTTTCGGACTACCGATATTTCCGATATCACCGATATTTTCTTCCTTGTTCAGGATACGAATGATTAGTATTATTAGTTGACCTGAGTTGGCCGTTAACCCCTGGTTCCCTACTAAAAGGGAAGCCTCGCATTTTCTTTCTCAAGCCAAGTGGAAAGAAGGGGATGAAGTTATTTGAATTTTTGAAATTTAATTCAACGGTTAAAAATAAAGATTTATTTTAAAAATTATATTAATTTTAACTGTTGAATTAAATTTTAAAAATCTGAATCACTTGATCCGTCAATTTGGTATAAAAGATTTAGAGATAATCTATTTCCAGTAGAAAAATCCGTATGATGGGGTCACTCTTGTGCACGCCTAACCTGTTACTCGTCCACCTGTCAAGTGAGACTAGCTTAATTTGTATATTTCAACATTTCTGTATCGTCCGCACTCCACGACCCCACACACACACGAGTCGCAGACGTATTCAATATTCATGTCTCTTTCGTTTCCTTGGAAAAACCTTTCCCTTTCTTTTACTCTGTTTTTTACTCCTCCTTTTTAACTTTTCTTAGAATATCATCAAATTTCAGTCCTTTATTTCTCTTTAAATTGCAGGCTCCTCCTTTCATGGACTCTCTCAGTAGTTAGTCGTACTCGTATTATATATTCCACACTACTACCACCACAGGCAGGCAGACAGGCAGGCAGGATTCCAATACATAACGATTGTACAATAGTATTAGTAGTAAGATGGGGGGTCTAGACACTCAGAGGCCGTATCAACTTGAAGAAGATGATAACGATCGTCATCATCATAACATAAATTCATCACCATCATCAGGAGATGCGGAGCTGGATTCCCAGCACCAGACTATGACAACGAACAAGAAGAAGAACAAGTACGTGGTGGTGGAAGACGATGACGATGACACGGCAAAGGAAGAATTACTGTCGGTGGAGAAGTTGTTCGAGAACCAACCAGTGCCGTCATGGCGGGAGCAGCTCACGTTCAGAGCCTTCTTCATAAGCTTCGTCCTCAGCATCCTCTTCAGCGTCATCGTCATGAAGCTCAACCTCACCACCGGTATTATCCCCTCTCTCAACGTCTCTGCGGGTCTCTTGGGCTTCTTCTTTGTCAGGACTTGGACCAAGTTCCTCGAGAGGTGCGGCCTCCTCAACCAGCCCTTCACCAGGCAGGAGAACACCGTCATCCAGACCTGCGTCGTTGCCTCCTCCGGGATCGCCTTCAGCGGTGCGCTATTCTTTCATTATTCTTGATTTGCTAGTTTCATCAGATTAATATTCAATTCAGAACTAGATCCTCTGCCATCCATCCATCCGTGCGTCCATCTTAAGGATGAGATGAGACCGAGGGAAACTACCGTGCCCAACATCTTAAACTAATACTTCCATTATTTTGTTGATTTTCAATTATATATTTGCTTCTGTGACTGTCATGCTGGCTAATCTTCTTGGAAGAACCTGAGTGTTTTTTCTATTAGGAAACAGGAAAATTATTAAAACGAACCAGACAACCATGTTCATGACATAAATACATCACTAATATATATACAGAGTACAAGTATTTGTTTCATTTGTTTTTTTTTTTTTTTTTTAACTTTCGGGGATTAAGCAGTTAGGCCGTCACAAGTTTACTTGATTACTATTTGATGTATATGTAATTAAATAGTAGGACCTTTTTTACCAGAGGAGATCAAGAAAAGGGGGGAATCTGATTAGTTGTCAAATGTTAGGCAACTCAACCCCATGAGGATACACAGGCGAAGATTTTCCAACAGATCAGCTAGTTGTTCGTTATACTGGTGGCGGTATCAAGGGTTTGTTGGCTGTGCGTTATTCTCTCCAAACCATGTCAGCTCTTATGTTGAGATTGGTCATGGAGATTGTTTACCTATATTTGACGCCACACCCCCAGTCTTGTAAATCTTCTCTTTTTAATAATATATATCGTTTCTTCTAAAAAATAATGAAGAGCTAGCTAATAAGCCACTGTTAAAACTGGATCCATCACTGCTAGAGGACTGAAAATCTTCCATTGTTGAATTCAGTGTGCTGCCAGTATTAAGAGATGCCACAACTTTGCTGTGGCCCGAAAGGTTGGACACAGAGGAGTCATGGATTGTGTGGCTGTGTTGCGTACTAGGATGCATCCTGCTATATATTCCTAGTGTTAAATTCCTTCCGTTTGATTATGTATTGATATGTTATGTACAAACTGACCACAGGAGGGTTTGGGAGCTATCTGTTTGGAATGAGCGAACGCATTGCCCAGCAATCCAAAGACAGGAGTGACACAAAAGATCCAGGATTACTCTGGATCATTGGCTTTCTCTTTGTTGTTAGCTTTCTGGGCCTCTTCTCAGTCGTGCCTCTCCGAAAGGTACACTAGCTACTAGACACACACACGCATGCGCGCGCGCACCCACCCACTCAATGCATTCCATTTCCTATCATAAGATAGAATCCATTATGTATAGTTCGCAAATAGAGAAAAGAGCATTGCCGGGCAGTGTATATCAAAGTTTAATGTATACATGTTCATTGACATATATGGTTGGTAATTTCAGATCATGATCATAGACTTCAAATTGACATATCCAAGTGGCACTGCAACTGCTTACCTTATCAACAGTTTCCACACTCCCGAAGGAGTCAAGCTAGCCAAGTAAGGCACCATCAAACCTCATTCCTATATACACACCCGTACATTTTATGACTAATACATACGTCTTCAAAATCAACATAACATGAGGTGAAAGTTGTGTCTCTCTAAACTCTAATGACTCTATTCTACTCTTTTAATTAGGAAACAAGTAAGGGAGTTGGGCAAGTTCTTCTCCTTCAGTTTTTTGTGGGGGTTCTTTCAGTGGTTCTATACTGCCGGAGACAATTGTGGATTTGCAAGCTTCCCTTCACTTGGCCTCAAAGCATATCAGAATAAGTAATACTTATATACCACCCCTGCCCCATCCTTAATTGGTTTTCTTATTTGCGTACGATGATATGAATAAATGTTCAGTTCTGGTTATTAATCATACGTGCTCCTGAATTGGAATTGCATTCGCAGGTTCTTCTTTGATTTCTCGGCAACATATGTTGGAGTGGGGATGATTTGCCCCTACAATGTGAACATATCAGTTCTTCTTGGAGGCATTCTTTCCTGGGGATTAATGTGGCCTCTCATAGAAACCAGGAGTGGTGATTGGTACGATAAAGAGCTCAGCCCAAAAAGCATGAATGGCCTTCAAGGTTACAAGGTGATCGGTTTTCCAGCTCAAGAAAAAACCTTAATTAATAATAATATTCTTCCAATGCATATATGTAAGGATGTGTGTCAATGGAACTTATCATGTACTTGTTTAAATAGGTCTTCATTGCCATTGCCCTGATCCTTGGTGATGGGCTATACAACTTCGTGAAGGTGCTAAGTCGAACCCTCATTGCCTTACAATCTCAACTCCGAAGCAAAGATGCGAGCGGCATCCTCCCTGTTAAGAAACATCAAGGCTCTCCAGATGTGAGCTCTGAGCTGTCTTATGATGACCAGCGGCGGACCCAGCTGTTTCTTAAAGACCAAATCCCAGCGTGGATAGCTGTTGGAGGGTATGTTGTGTTTGCTGCAATCTCAATTGCCACTGTGCCGCACATATTTCCCCAACTCAAGTGGTACTATATATTGGTTATCTACCTCTTTGCACCCACGTTGGCTTTCTGTAATGCATACGGTTGTGGCCTCACTGACTGGTCCCTGGCATCCACTTACGGTAAGGTGGCCATCTTCACGATTGGGGCATGGGCCGGTTCTGCACATGGTGGTGTTCTTGCTGGACTAGCAGCATGTGGAGTTATGATGAACATTGTGTCGACAGCCTCTGATCTAACCCAGGATTTCAAGACCGGCTACCTAACCTTGGCTTCCCCTCGGTCCATGTTTGTGAGCCAAGTCGTTGGGACAGCAATGGGTTGTGTAGTTTCTCCTTGTGTGTTTTGGCTCTTCTACAAGGCCTTCAGTGACCTCGGAATACCTGAAAGTGCGTATCCATCTCCCTTTGCTGTTGTGTACCGTAACATAGCTGTCTTGGCGGTAGAAGGTGTAAAATCTCTACCCAAGAACTGCCTCTTGCTTTGTGGCATCTTCTTTGGGGCGGCCATTGCCATAAACGTGCTCAAGGATTGCCTTGGTAAAAAGAGGGGACGCTTTGTTCCACTACCAATGGCAATGGCAATCCCTTTCTATCTAGGGTCGTATTTTGCGATCGACATGTGCATTGGGAGCTTGATAGTGTTTTTGTGGGGAAGGGTAAACAAAGCCAAGGCAGACGCTTTTGTCCCTGCCGTAGCTTCTGGTTTGATTTGCGGGGACGGTACTTGGACTTTGCCTGCTTCAATACTCGCTCTTGCCGGGGTTCAGCCGCCAATTTGCATGAAGTTTTTGTCAAGCTCACAAAACACTAGAGTTGATGCATTCATAGCTGGTAAAGCGCGCTAATTAAGTTCATCCCCATCCCCATGCCTCCCCCTATGCATGATATCATATATGTGTATGTATATATATGAATCATCTGTACAAGTCTTTGGAAGGAAGGTTTGCATCGAATTTGCTTATGGAACAATCAAATATTATCTCCCAATCATCTAAAAACTTAATCCTGGTTGGTGGACCACATATATGGTGCCGCTGCGTCAATTCTCGTCAACTGGTAAATGTTCATCATGGTGGATCCAACTCTTTATTTTTTATTTTTTGTTACTTGTATATTTGTAGCTCAGTAAATGGTAAAAACCGCTTTCAAATGCCTTGTCTAGTTTTCTTTACTTTAATGCTCAACTTATGATTACATGGAGCAATGATCCCTTAATTTTAGTTCCTGAACCACAACTCGGAATTGGACCCACGTCCAGAAGCCAATGCTTCAACTTTCCCCAATATAAGGCAAGGCCTATCCAAATCATCAAGAACACTCTACTTAAAAGTGACGACGCTACATCAAAATAATAATGTTTGATGCGAGTGAAAATTGCAATACATGGCAACGTGTCAATTTGTGAGACCACTGACCTCAAGCAGCCCAATCTTCATCACTAAGATCCGTATCCTACACAAAGCATAAACTCAAGAAATCATTATTTTCGACAGTAATTAAGGTTAACTTCCAGTCAACATGGAAATGTTATTACTAGAGCGCTGCATCCAAAATCATTATCAGTTTAAAAAAAAAATCATGGCAATTTCAATGATCAGCGCCCAAAATGCCAAGGCACCAGATATGCCATCACCAATCACGCATCTTAATTTCAAGGAATTGCACCAAAAAATTAAAAAATCCATATCCATGACACTATAATTAAAATTTTAAATAAAGTAGGAATTACCTGCGATTCTGAGGTGCTTTCTTCAATATCATCCTCTTCAACCTACATGTTTATGCACACCTCAACACTTCAGAAAGTAGAATGTAATAATTACTTAAACAACAATCTTACCACATAAAAGGTAATCGAGCATTAACAAGTTAAGAGAGCAAATCTCTAGAATTGTAATTGGATAATCATGTTTTTGAAAAAGGAAGCACAAAAATACAAAATCTTACTTTTACACTGAGAAATACATTTTAATTTAGAGTAAAAGCTTTGATAACAATTACAACAACAACAACAACAACAAAGCCTTTTCCCACTAAGTGGGGTCGGCCATATGAATCCTAGAACGCCATTGCGCTCGGTTTTGTGTCATGTCCTCCGTTAGATCCAAGTAATCAAGTCTTTTCTTAGGGTCTCTTCCAAAGTTTTCCTAGGTCTTCCTCTACCCCTTCGGCCCTGAACTTCTGTCCCGTAGTCACATTTTCGAACCGGAGCGTCAGTAGGCCTTCTTTGCACATGTCCAAACCACCGGAACCGATTTTCTCTCATATTTCCTTCAATTTTGGCTACTCCTACTTTACCTTGGATATCCTCATTCCCAATCTTATCCTTTCTCGTGTGCCCATACATCCCACGAAGCATCCTCATCTCCGCTACACCCATTTTGTGTACGTGTTGATGCTTCACCGCCCAACATTCTGTGCCATACAACATCGTTGGCCTTATTGCCGTCCTATAAAATTTTCCCTTGAGCTTCAGTGGCCTACGACGATCACACAACACGCCGGATACACTCATCCATCCAGCTTGTATTCTATGGTTGAGATCTCCATCTAATTCTCCGTTCTCTTGCAAGATAGATCCTAGGTAGCGAAAACGGTCACTTTTTGTGATCTTCGCTAGATTGCTCCGGTCATTAGTGTGGATAAGTATATAAATGGATAGAGATAGGAAAGCAAACACAAGATGTACGTGATTCACCCAGATTGGCTACGTCCACGGAATAGAGGAGTTCTCATTAATTGTGAAGGGTTTACACAAGTACATAGGTTCAAGCTCTCCTTTAGGGAGTACAAGTGAATGATTTAGTACAAATGACATTAGGAAATATTGTGGGAGAATGATCTCGTAACCACGAAACTTCTAAGTCCCGGAGTGTGGTATCGGCTTGACTTTCCTTATCTGTCTCATAGGTACATGTGGAATCTTCTCTGGAAGTACTCTTCCTCCATCCAGGGGTGGTATCTGTAACTTGTGGAGATGCACAAGGTAATGTATCAATGTCACTTGAAGCTTACTTGTAGTTTCAGGCTTGGTCAAGCGCGATACACACCATGTAGTAGGAGTCTCCCAAGTCGCCGAGCTAGGGGATCTGCTGAAAGAGGTAACAGACAAGGTAAGCAATCAGAGCTCCGGCTGATTGTTCACATTCTCCCTATCTTGCAGGCAGCATGAAGGATAAAAAAAAGGTCGTACCCAGTGCACAAGGCTCCCGCTTTACGCAGGGTCTGGGAGAGGTGAATGTCAGCATGAAGGATAAAGAGAAGAAAAATGAGAAGAGATGATATGGGATACTTTTGCTTTTGAAGAAGTAACTTTCCACAGGCTTATTCTTGAACTGGGCTGGAGGGTTTTCTGGTTTCCTCCAAAGTATAAGGCCGACTGAAGAATTTGAGGGTCAAAACAAGTCCATCAAATCTAGAGTACGTTCGACCCTACTGATATGGGATACTTTTGCTTTTGACAGAGTAGTGGATGTATCGGCACGTGTGCTGTTACGCTTGTCTCCACATGCTTCCTTGTATCCTTCTCACTTGCTCTATCTGTTCCTCAGGCAGATGCGGTATCTTCCCTGTAAGCATAAGATGTTGAAGATGAGTACTCGAGAGCAATGCCAGGTAAGTAATCAAGTAAGGGGTTCCAGGCAGTCAGTTCCTGACTGGAAGCTTGATTCCAAGTGCTGACTGATTGCTCTCTTTCTCCTTGTCTTGCAGGTAAGAACAAGGCCAAAGGAAAAGACAGGGAAAAAGCATGATATGGGATACTCTTGCTTTTAACCCTGATGATATGAGATATTCTTGCTCTAGTATAGCTTGTTTACAGAGGTATTATCGGGGGGAAAGAAAGCTGAATATTTCGAAAGGCTTCGTTGGGAATGCCCTCTCAAATAAGAGGAAGGGTTGAGCATTTTTGCAGGTCTGCCTGTCCGTTGGGGATGGAGGTCGACATATATAGGAGTCTCCCTAACATCAAGTAATAATGCTATTCCTTTACCCTGCTTGGTCATAGCACGGTAGTGGGAGCTGCCAGCTTCACAAGTTTTAACTCTGTCAGAGCACTTTGAAAAAGTGATATGTGGTATCTGGAAAGCTGATGTTGCGTGTGAAGATTACAGACAAGCTTTATCCAAGGAGATCCGGCTCTTGAAGTTGGGAAAGTGGTGCCTCTTCGGTTTTCGAACAAGCAATCCTGTCGGGGATCTGACTCTCGAGATTCGGAAAACGATGCCTCTTCGATTTTTGAGAAAGCAATCATGCTGGGGGTCTGGCTCTCGAGATTCGGAGAGCGGTGTCTTCGATTTTTGAGAAAGTAATCATGTTGGGAGTTGGGAGTGTTTTCTCGAATATGAGTAAAGGTTGGGCATGTTTGCTAGTCTACCTTGCCACGAAGCACAGAGGTTGACACACAGGGACTTTCCAATTATCCAGCAGTGGTACTGTTCCTTTACCCTCTCTTCTTCGATTTTTGAGAAAAGTAATCATGTTAGGAGTCTGGCTCTCGAGATTCGGAGGGGCGGTGCCTCTTCGATTTTGGAGCAAGCAATCTTGTTGGGGGTGTTTTCTCGAATGTGAGTAAAGGTTGGGCATGTTTGCTAGTCTACCTTGCCACGAAGCACAGAGGATGACACACAGGGACTTTCAAATTATCCAGCAGTGGTACTGTTCCTTTACCCTCTCTTCGATTTTTGAGAAAGTAATCATGTTGGGAGTCTGGCTCTCGAGATTCGGAGGGCGATGCCTCTTCGATTTTGGGGCAAGCAATCTTGTTGGGAGTGTTTTCTCGAATGTGAGTAAAGGTTGGGCATGTTTGCTAGTCTACCTTGCCATGAAGCACAGAGGTTGACACACCGGGACTTTCCAATTATCCAGCAGTGGTACTGTTCCTTTACCCTTGTGGGTAATAATATGGTAGCTAGGCCGTCAAAATTTATGTGTCTAAACTTTGTTAGTGTTGTTTCTTTGCTATTCTTTTACCCTTCTTGGTCAGAGCGATGTAGTGAGAGTTGCAAGCTTCACGTGTCTCGACTTTGTCAGAGAACTTTGGCAAAGTTATATGTGGTACCCATGAGCTACTGTTGCGTGTGGGAAGTGGGTGATTGAACAGTACGATTCATGTGCTTTCTACTTCGCCAGAAATCTTCGACAGAATGCCCATAATTTCCGCAAAGCTGAGTGTGCGTGTGATAGGTGCTGACAGGGCTGGAAAAGTAGTCTCAACTTTGTCAGAGAACTTTGGCAAAGTTATATGTGGTACCCATGAGCTACTGTTGCGTGTGGGAAGTGGGTGATTGAACAGTACGATTCATGTGCTTTCCTACTTCGCCAGAAATCTTCGACAGAATGCCCATAATTTCCGCAAAGCTGAGTGTGCGTGTGACAGGTGCTGACAAGGCTGGAAAAGTAGGTGCCTCTTCGATTTCTGAGATCGGCCCTCGTGGTCTCTCTGAGCAGCCCAGCTTTTGAGAAAGCAAGCCTCTTCGATTTCTGAGATCGGCCCTCGTGGTCTCTGAAAGCCCAGCTTTTGAGAAAGCAAACCCTCTTCGATTTCTGAGATCGGCCTTCGTGGTCTTTGAGCAGCCCAGCTTTTGAGAAAGCAAACGCCTCTTCGATTTCTGAGATCGACCCTCGTGGTCTCTGAGCAGCCCAGCTTTTGAGAAAGCAAACGCCTCTTCGATTTCTGAAGCTTCGTCGAGTGCAGATTTTTATAGAGGCTGACATTAAGTTCCAAAGCACACTTGAATATCCACCAGTAGAAGCTCCATTCTTGCACTTCTAAGATCTTGATTTGTCCGACCTCTTCTCTCTTCTAACACCTTTGAAAATGTCTGGCCCCTCCGACCGTCGTTTTGACTTGAACCTTGTTGAAGAGGCAGCCCCGCCTTCTCCAGACAACATATGGCGCCCATCCTTCGTCTCCCCTACTGGTCCTCTTACCGTTGGGGATTCCGTGATGAAGAATGATATGACCGCTGCGGTAGTGGCCAGGAACCTTCTCACTCCCAAAGATAACAGACTACTTTCCAAACGGTCTGATGAGTTGGCTGTTAAGGATTCTCTGGCTCTCAGTGTTCAGTGTGCAGGTTCTGTGTCTAATATGGCCCAACGCCTATTTGCTCGAACCCGCCAAGTTGAATCATTGGCGGCTGAAGTGATGAGTCTCAAACAGGAGATTAGAGGGCTCAAGCATGAGAATAAACAGTTGCACCGGCTCGCACATGACTATGCTACAAACATGAAGAGGAAGCTTGACCAGATGAAGGAATCTGATGGTCAGGTTTTACTTGATCATCAGAGATTTGTGGGTTTGTTCCAAAGGCATTTATTGCCTTCGTCTTCTGGGGCTGTACCGCGTAATGAAGCTCCAAATGATCAACCTCTGATGCCTCCTCCTTCTAGGGTTCTGTCCAGTACTGAGGCTCCGAATGATCCCCCTCCGGTGCCTTCTCTTTCTGGGGCTCTACCGACTGCTGAGACTTCTCCTAAGCAACCTTTGTGAAGGCTCCCTCTTGTTTGTTTATTTTTGACTCAAGTATATGTACATATTTGTAATTTATCGGGGATATCAATAAATAAGCTTTCCTTCATTTCAACGTATTGTGTTAAATACACCAAAGCCTTCTTCGCTAAGTTCTTTGAATTTTCTTTTGTTGAAGCTTGTATGTTGAAGCTTTGTGAGTGGAGCATGTAGGTTGAGGTAGTGTTCCCTTAATTTCCCGAGTGAGGAAAACTTCTCTCGGTTGGAGACTTGGAAAATCCAAGTCACTGAGTGGGATCGGCTATATGAATCTTAGAACGCCATTGTGTTCTGATCCTGTGTCATGTCCTCCGTTAGATCCAAGTACTCTAAGTCTTTTCTTAGGGTCTCTTCCAAAGTTTTCCTAGGTCTTCCTCTACCCCTTCGGCCCTGAACCTCTGTCCCATAGTCGCATCTTCTAATCGGAGCGTCAGTAGGCCTTCTTTGCACATGTCCAAACCACCGTAACCGATTTTCTCTCATCTTTCCTTCAATTTCGGCTACTCCTACTTTAACCCCGGATATCCTCATTCCTAATCTTATCCTTTCTCGTGTGCCCACACATCCAACGAAGCATCCTCATCTCCGCTACACCCATTTTGTGTACGTGTTGATGCTTCACCGCCCAACATTCTGTGCCATACAGCATCGCCGGCCTTATTGCCGTCCTATAAAATTTTCCCTTGAGCTTCAGTGGCATACGGCGGTCACACAACACGCCGGATGCACTCTTCCACTTCATCCATCCAGCTTGTATTCTATGGTTGAGATCTCCATCTAATTCTCCGTTCTTTTGCAAGATAGATCCTAGGTAACGAAAACGGTCGCTCTTTGGTATTTCTTGATCTCCGATCCTCACCCCTAACTCGTTTTGGCCTCCATTTGCACTGAACTTGCACTCCATATATTCTGTCTTTGATCGGCTTAGGCGAAGACCTTTAGATTCCAACACTTCTCTCCAAAGGTTAAGCTTTGCATTTACCCCTTCCTGAGTTTCATCTATCAACACTATATCGTCTGCGAAAAGCATACACCAAGGAATATCATCTTGAATATGTCCTGTTAACTCATCCATTACCAACGCAAAAAGGTAAGGACTTAAGGATGAGCCTTGATGTAATCCTACAGTTATGGGAAAGCTTTCGGTTTGTCCTTCATGAGTTCTTACGGCAGTCTTTGCTCCTTCATACATATCCTTTATAGCTTGGATATATGCTACTCGTACTCCTTTCTTCTCTCTAAAATCCTCCAAAGAATGTCTCTTGGGACCCTATCATACGCTTTTTCCAAATCTATAAAGACCATGTGTAAATCCTTTTTCCCATCTCTATATCTTTCCATCAATCTTCGTAAGAGATAGATTGCCTCCATGGTTGAGCGCCCTGGCATGAACCCGAATTGGTTGTCCGAAACCCGTGTCTCTTGCCTCAATCTATGCTCAATGACTCTCTCCCAGAGCTTCATTGTATGACTCATTAGCTTAATACCCCTATAGTTCATGCAATTTTGTACGTCGCCCTTATTCTTGTAGATAGGCACCAAAGTGCTCGTTCGCCACACTCATTTGGCATCTTCTTCGTTTTTCAAAATCCTATTGAAAAGGTCAGTGAGCCATGTTATATACCTGTCTCTCCCAAAACTTTCCACACTTCGATTGGTATATCGTCTGGGCCTACTGCTTTTCTATGCTTCATCTTCTTCAAAGCTACAACCACTTCTTCCTTCCGGATTCTACGATAAAAAGAGTAGTTTCTACACTCTTCTGAGTTACTCAACTCCCCTAAGAAGCACTCCTTTCATGTCCTTCATTGAAAAGATTATGAAAATAACCTTTCCATCTGTCTTTAACCGCGTTCTCTGTAGCAAGAACCTTTCCATCCTCATCCTTGATGCACCTCACTTGGTTTAGGTCCCTTGTCTTCTTTTCCCTTGCTCTAGCTAGTTTATAGATATCCAACTCTCCTTCTTTGGTATCTAGTCGTTTATACATATCGTCATAAAATAAAAGGGAAACAATAATGGCCACAGTACAAAAAGAATCACCCCAGACACAAACGTACCTCATTTTTTTTCTTCTTTGCCAGGCTTTTGCCTCCTACAGAAACACAGACGTCATAAGTGCTAACTTTCCCACATGTAGATGCATGCATAAGAGAAACAAATAATAAAAATAGAAAAAGGTAACTATCCGGGAGATGTATAATAATAGAAAAGAGGTTGCAATTCCATAAATATTTAATAAACTAGATCAAATTATACAGTCAAAACCATATATCACATCCGATGCCACTCTAATCTGACATAGTGTTGCTAACGAGCAAACAATGATGAAGATGTGAGCACAGAGGCCTGAAGGAAACAACAGCTGTTTAACTCTACCTTTATCACTGCTCACATTATCATGAGAACTCCCAACTAATGAAAACAATTACTCCTGTATGCAGCACTGAACAAGGTGAAGTTGTAGTTTTGGGCAGCACTCAACAACCCCACCATCACTAAAATTAATTGAGCAATAAAAGACGGAAAAAGATCATGCACCTCATCAGATAACAAACATTTACTATTCCCAGATAGGACGTCAAGAACTCCGCATTTCATAAGTTCATAAACACACAATCAGTAGACTAAACTGTAATCTATACCACTCTTACCAAACTTGACTAAAATGGTTATATGAATCTCCCTCCTCCTAACTCCTAAGCATACTGATAAGTTCATAAACATGTAATCACCTCTTCATCAAATAATTTATCTCCTCGAGTATACTGACAAGTATATATTTATTAGCTACCATAATGGGCACAGAGAGAGAGAGAGAGAGAGAGAGAGAGAGAGAGAGAGAGACCCGCATCCTTTTCCTTGGCAGTTTTTGCCTTTTTCCTGGGTCCTGCATCCTGCAACAACAACAAACTAGGTCAGCTACAACACTCCGATGCAAAGCAGTCATGGCGAAGACAAGGATAAAATCAGCTAGAATTGTAGTTTGAAATGGCAGGGAGAAGGGGGAAGGAGCATTAAGAACAAAATGTAACCAGATTAACCTTCTTCCTTGAATCAGTTTGGTGCGGCTTCTGGCCAGAATCTGGAAAACATCAACATCACTCACTATTCTGAGTACTCAAATCCCAATATTTTCATAATAAGCGTAATTTGGAAGAATTAACAACCTTTGGGAGATGCACGTTTCCTTGGGCCTTTTGGTGTTTTATGAACCTGTGAAGAGGGAAGCTGTACTTGACTTTGCATGCTGGAGTCCACTTTCTGCAACACATTGAAAATTTTCAGAGCATTGTAAGCATTAAGAGGAAAAAGAAGGAAAATTCTGATAAAGGGAATAGAAGGAAAATTCTCTGATAAAGGGAAGGAAAATGGCAATGCATGATGCAATGTTCTCTTTTTGACATGCCAAGAATCATCAAGTTCACTCTGATTAGCTGTTTCATTTTGGTTTTCAGTTACATGCTTCGTGGTAGTTCTGAAACATACCCTAGCTACATAACAAGTACTCGCAAATCATAATCCTAAGAATAAAAGTTTAAAAAAAAAAATAGACTTACCTTCTTCTCCACTTTCTTAAACAATGTAGATATAGTAGTTTGAATGAGCGAACCATGATTGCTATGAGAGTCCTCTTTAGATGTAGTCCCAGCAAAGGCAGAATGTGACTCTTTCTTTGATTTAGCTTCGGACAGAGAGGAATCTTCATTTTGCTTGGGAGTTTGAGCTCCTTTCATACGATCCTCATTATCAATGTCTGCATCTCCAAAGCTGAGATTGTCAGTCTGTATCTACCAGTTAAGGGAATCAGTTGCAATATAGCAAGCTGAGATGGAAGTTTGATACAAGGAGCATGGTAAACCTGAGTTCAAATTACGATATATATAATTAAAATGCTGGAGTTTACAAAATTAAGACAGTAAAATCTAGGATATTTCCACTACTGTGCTTCCCAGATGAAGAATCAAGTCTTCCAACTTTTTTATCTTCTCCTTCAGCTGAGGGGGTATCACTTTCAGCAGAATCATCTCCAGAAGAAGCTTCTCCAAACCTGAACAAAGTGACAGATCAAGGGTTGAAGCAAGATATGGGCACATCACAGGGCAGTAGGTGCTCATTTCTTTTATTAATATTCAATAAAAAGAAAATATATCAAAATGGTTAATTATCTATGCTACGTAAGTATGTAACTGAAGGTATCGCAAAATATCATGAAGACAAGTGTCTAATAGTTTACACAGTATTCATAGAGACTACACAACATTCCATGATAGACCATAGACTGAAAAGTAATGAATGCATTCATGTCTTCCACAAGCTACATGTGAAAGCACATTGGACATAAGGGCCCTTTGTAACTATTTGCAACATGTTTGATTGTTTTCTTTTTTCCTTGGAATGATAAAACTATACTACACAGAGGAACGTTAATTAGAAAGGCCTGAAAAGGAAAATATGGACATGTTGCTCAAATGAAAAATAAAATGTTGGTTTCATTACTATCCTTCAAAGATGGCCTCAGAACATATAAGGTATGTCTGTGTGTCTGTTTTCCTGTACAAATATGTATACCTATATATGTATCATAGGTTGCACACTTTGTTTTGCATGTATTTAATTTATGCAATTGCTGATTTCTTTATGAGAATATCTAATGAGTACAATAAAAGGCAATGCCAGTACTTGAATTTTTTTCCTGCAGTTCTTGCTGAATGTCGAACTGGTGTTGCCTTCATTAATTCATTGTTTTCTTCATCTGATAAATTATCTTCAACCTTGTTATGTGGGGAATACTCTTCAACATATGTAGTTTCATTTTTACTATCACTTTGCTTTTTGGCAGATGTTGAACCTGCGCCACCTTGAAAGTCGAACTCAGAGTGTTGTCCCTGAGACCAACAAATTCCGACAGTAGATCATCAGAAAGCAGCGATATGCACACCCTACAACATGTATAACCTATGTGAATAGAAACCAACCTCAGTCAATTCCTTAGGAAAATCAAGTTGGGCTTCCTCGGGATTCTCATCTTTTGTCCCAATCCACCAAGCATCGGAAAATACAATCTGGGACATGAAAAGCTACTGCTGATAAGCCTGATATAGATATGTAAAACATGCTTTCTGAACCTCAGTTTCATACAACAAGCACCCGACCTTAGACAAACAATAATATAAGTGTATATAACGGGTAGTGGCGCATGGGAAGTTCTGAGAACTGAGAAGCTTAGAAACATATTGTTCTCCAAATCAAAGGAGAGGAAATTTGTTGGAAAGGGGTCCTTCAAGGAATTACAAAACAAGAAGATTCCAGGTGGAAGTTGTATAAGACAATAACTCTAAAATCATTATGTACACATTTGCCTTTAGGAGTTACAACGTTTAGAATACAAGTTTTCAAGCATATCAGCTTTGCAATTCTTCTGCCTCATTCTCTACCAACAAATGGCTGATATGAAACTATCAACTCCCATTAACCCTATTTTTTTTCTTCTCATTTCTAGAAAATTGAAAGAATTGAAGTGATTATATCGAAAATCATTCGAGCAGGTCAATCCTCCTTGGTCAAATTCATATGATATTTTAGAGCAGTTGCACTGGTCATCAACCAAGCCTATGAACAAAATGATATATATGCATATATATACCAAAGCAGCAACTTGAAAATCAATGCGGTAAACAAAGTTGTACTTGTGCAGAGTTATAAAAAGGCACCGACCATATTATCGAAGTAGTCCTCGCACATGACACTCTTTCCACCCTTGGGGAACTGCATTGTCAGATACCTGTTCTTGGGGAACACAAGAGTCCCAAACAACTTCATCTGACCCTGAAAAGTGGAAACAGAAACAACTGAGACAAGTGGGAGAAAGAAAATCGGGGATGAAAGTAGTAGAGGTCACCGACCGACCAGAGGGAATTGGAGGTAGAGGACGGGGTTCTTGGTGTCCAAATCCTTGAGGTCGCCGATCTTACCACCTCCAATGGGGGCAAGGAGGCCAGGGAAGGAGAAGAGGAACTTGTTCTTCCGCTGAGATTTCTTCACAATGTCCTTGCCATGCTGCTTAAGGACACCGTTTGAAGGTGTGAGAGGCGCGCGGGGCTTTGCAGGGATCTCTGAGAGCTGGTTGTTGGAGAAGGCGAGGGCTTTGAGCCTCTTCCGCTGCGCGACCTCAGGTTCTGCCTCTGCCTCTGCCCCTTCATCATCTTCGTGTTTCCGCTTCTTCGATGACGAGGTCCGCGCCATTTTGATTCAACCGGACCGGAGACCACCAACCCTACCTCCTGTCTCTGTAGGGTTTTAAACCTCTCTCTCTAAAATGTCTATTGCACCCAACAGACCCGACCCAAGTATTGTCCTAGAGGCATAAAAGTTCTTGGAATAGGCAACCATGGATCATATCTTACTCGGATGTTCTTCCCCTCACCCACCCTCCAGCAGATCCCCGCTTTTAGCACTTCCCGGGATCTGCTTTCGAATACCTTCGTACAAATAAAAATGGGAATGGGCCTATCCGACTAATGCCTGCCTATGCCGATCCAGTGAGAAGCTCCGATAATATTTATTTTAACCAAAAATTATATTTTTACATTAAAAAATTAATCTTGTATTATTTATTTTACTTTTTATTTTGTCTTTAACGTTAAAACTCAAAGTTTTCAAATCATTTTCATTTGTTTTCCCTTCAATCTAATGAATTGTAATTTGTGCACAAAGTTGTGTGTGTTTAAGATTACCAAAAAGTTTTAAAATGAAGGAATTTTATTTTTTTAAATTTATAAATTTTCTTGTTTGGTTGATCTGAAAATACTATAGAACTTGAATAAGAAATTTTTTATTTTTGAACTCTCACTCATAAAAATTTGAAAATGACACCTATTTACATGAAATTTAAACTTGGGAATTGGAGATTCCAACTTCCAAGTTTTTTCTTTCACGTGAAACTTCTAAATTTCTATGTTTATGAATTCAAACAACGGAATTTGTGTATATCAATTTACAAATTATGCTTCTATCAAAATTTCATGTTTATTTTCTTCATCCAAACATAGTGTTATAGTCATATATAAAATTACTACAAAGGTTTTACTGACTTTTGAAAAAAAAAATTATTTTCTTTGAACATCCATAGGACTTTGAAAAAAAAACAATGTGGTAACCAAGAGTTTAATAAACTTCAGGGCTGTTAAATTTTTATAATTAATACAAAGAAAATGAAAAACTTACAAAATAAAACAAGGATATTCTACATTTAGTAAATTATTTTGGGGTTCAACGAAATGTATGAGAGTAAATTAAGTGCCTAGAAAAAAAAAAGTGTCCAGAAAGGAAATATAGGTTTGTACAGAACCACTCAACACAAACACACAAAACCCATTCAACCAAAAGACACCACAATTCACGATGGTAAGAAAAAAGAAATCCACAACAAAATACGCAAAATTTGCATCCTTTAACAGAAAGCAGAAAAGGGAAGAGTAATCCAATCTCGTTGTCAGTCCAAATCCACAAGGGAGGAGTAATGAGTGTGTTTTGTGCTTTCTTTCCTTCTTTCTTGTTCAGCACAGAAACCCTCCATCCTTTTGCCATTCCTTCATTTCCGATGTGAAAATTTCCGAGTTTCTTCATTAGTGACAGTCAATTAGGAAGCCATGGTTGGTGCTCTGTCTCACGCCTTGCCAGGCATTCCGTCTTGTTGTTGCCTTTGCCGAATCGATAATCACAAGGAAGATGGCAAGCTCTGCGTTTGGGGTTTCTCCACCTCCAGAGAAAGAAGCGACTCTGGAATCGGAATTGTTCGGGTTTACAAGAGGAGCCTCTTGGGTGACAACCTCACCGGGCGCTGGACTCTCAACGCACTCGACACCCACATTGGTGTCGAGACTGCTCCTCGTCACACCACCGTTGAAATCCCCGTCACCTGTTACCAGGTCGCTTCTTTCGTCTTTAATTTGAATGGGCTCTGTGTTTGTCAAATTGTGATTTTTACTTGTATTTTCTCTGTGGTTGAGAGAGATCCTGCAATAGCGACATATATTATATATGATATATACAAGTCGTTGAACATTGCCATCAAAGACCTTCAAATCACTCTGCTATCCTTACGTTAGCCATCCTAGCAGCGTAGCAGCCTGGCAGTGCCATAATCAAGTGTTTGTCTTAGTGTTTTAGTGATTAAGAAATTTGTTTCTTGTGTTATGATTTCCCTATTTTCGGAACTTCGTTATAGGTCACCATTTACTAAATGCTAAACAAATGACTTTGCAGCTTATTGGCGTTCCTGCTAAGGCTGAGAAAGATGAGGTTGTTAAATCAGTGATGGAATTGAAGAGTGCCGAAATTGAAGAAGGCTACACTTTGGATACAGTCCGATCTCGCTTGGTACACACCTGGATTTTTATTCTTTGCTATTTATTTTTTTAATTAAGTTGTGCTATGTATTATATAGTTTAATTCCTTTTCTCTTACGGGTTTGTTGCCAGTGTCTCTTAACGGATGTGAGAGATAAGCTTCTTTTTGAACCAGAATACGCTGGCAATATTAAGGAAGAGATCCCACCTAAATCTTCCCTACGAATTCCTTGGGCATGGTTGCCGGGTGCTCTTTGCCTTCTTCAAGAGGTAAAGCTTTGTCTTTGTGCACTCTTCTTAATTTGTAATATAATGTTGCTTCTTTGTTCATTTTCTTCCCTTTAAAGAAAAATAAATACGGTTAATCACTGATTCAATTAAAGAGGAATTGAATTCTTTTTTCAGATATTAGTTACCGTACTATGTCAGTGAAACTCCATTTGGCACAGTGCTTTTCATTGTGGATTCTTTTGTAGATAATTTATTAGCTGGAACTGTTTTCTTCTTATTTGTAATTTTATACAACAACTTTTTGTTTTGGTCTAATTATAAACGAAAAAGGATTTTGTTTTGCAAGACACGGGTATATGATATTGGATTTCTCCATTATAGGTTGGGGAAATTAAGCTTGTGCAAGATGTTGGCCGCGTGGCTGTTCAGCATCCAGATGCTAAGCAGTATATTCATGATCTTCTTCTTTCTATGGCATTAGCGGAGGTAAGGCATATCAGCAAAGAGGTCAGGATATTGTACCATCCGTTTCTGCATTGTTATGCTTCCCTTTCTCATCTTAGGTGCTTTCTTGAAGTGTGCAACTGCAAAGGTTGGTTTTGAGAAGAACAAGGTGTCCCAAGGATTTGAAGCTCTAGCTCGCTCTCAGTGTCTTCTAAGGAGTAGAAAGTCTCTTGGTAAAATAGCATTGTTGTCTCAGGTAATACTCTCATCTTCTATTCTGTCAATATTTTGTTATCTGGTTTATCACTCTGGAATGGGACTGTTGTTTTTGGGTTGCAAAGTAGCGACCAGATATATACTAATAATCCAAAAGTATAGTGGATCAAATGTTGAGATGGATCATGGACCTGCTGGTTGAAATTTGTAAACTATGACAAATTTCTGTTTGAAAACATTTAACTTTATTCCATGCTTGTACTTGCCCAAAAGTATACTTGCTCATGCTGCTGTGTAAATCATATGTTGGTCATGTTTAATAGATAGAAGAATCTTTGGAGGAGCTTGCACCTGCCTGTACATTGGAATTGCTTGGCATGTCTCACTCACCTGAGAATGCGGAACGAAGACGAGGAGCAATTGCAGCCTTGCGTGAATTGGTCAGGCAGGGACTTGATGTGGAAACTTCATGCCGGGTTCAAGACTGGCCATGCTTCTTGACCCAAGCACTGAATAGACTAACGGCTTCAGAGATAGTTGATCTTCTTCCATGGGATGACTTAGCTATTACAAGGAAGAACAAGAAATCACTTGAATCGCAGAATCAACGGGTTGTAATTGATTTTAATTGTTTCTACATGGTATTAACAGCTCATGTTGCACTGGGTTTTTCAAGCAAGCAAAAGGAATTGGTAAGTTCATTATTCTCCTAGGTTACTTGCTTTGAAATAATTAATTTTGAATAAGAAGGCTGATGGAATAGTTCCCTTCAAATTCTCTCGAGGGTGTTGTTGTCTGTTCCATTTTGTTAATTTCAGTATTTATCATATGGTTGTGCAGATTGAGAAAGCAAAATCTGTATGTGACTGCCTGATTGCATCAGAGGGTGCTGATCTGAAACTTGAGGAAGCTTTTTGCTGGTTCCTTCTTGGTCAGGTACATTTTTCAATTTCCTTTTAGTTTTATGTCCTGCACTGTTTCATAAAGTTGTTTTGGATATCTTGCATAGACTGAATTTGTTTTCCTTTTCTCCTTTCTGTTTTCTCTACTACGAAATATTAACTTGGTTTCCAGGGTGATGAGGCTGCGGTTGTTGAAAAGCTTCAGAAGCTGGAGTTGAACTCAAATTCTGCTGCACGAAATTCAATCTTAGGGAAGGAAGTTAAGGATACTTGTGGTGCAACTCAATCATTGGTACATCTCTTATGGGTTGTTGTTGTCTCCCTATTTACACAGCGTATATTGTGATCAATGCGGTCTATTTATGTATCAACTTCTTTTAATTAGTGGCATGCACATCAACATTCCAAAAAAGCATACACTAGTAGCCAGGGGCCACTCTAGCTCTTAATCAATTTTCCTTTACTTTCTCTGTGTCATGTCATTTGTTTCAGGAAAAGTAAAAGTTGTTTTTAGCCTGCAGAATAGATGGTTTATCATGAAAATGCATTGTGTTCCATGTTGTGCCATTTCACACTCTACTTATTTCAGTACAAACTTTATGTTTGTTTTCAAGGCCAGTACTTTCTCATGTCGGACTGCCTGCTGAACTTAATCAGGAAATGTGGCTGAAGGATGCTGTCCTTGCTGTGTTTCCAGATTCACGAGATTGCCCTCCATCGTTGGTGAGATTCACAATGATGGATTGATTAAGGATTTTAGTTTTGTTTTACCAGACAGTTTATGCATGTGTGTATGTATGTCTTTGCAGGCCAACTTTTTTGGTGGTGACAAGAGAACTCCTCTGAGCAAGAAAAGCAAAGTAGCTCCACAGAATTTGCCTATCATAAGTCAAAGACCAATGTCCGCTGCTTTTGTTTCAGAACGGAGAGATTTTGATAAATCTTTTTCCCATATGAACTCTTCTCAATATCTTGGAACAGCTGTTAAGCAGTTGGCTCCAACTGATCTGCGAAGTCCCTTGATATTGGGCAAGACTGGCAGTGGAACCAGTGCCAATGCATCATCAGTTCAATTGGAAAGGAATCTTGGCATGGACCGCAGTAAAGTTTGGGATGGTTGGTTTGCGAGAGGAGTTTTGGTTGGAAGGATCACTTTAGTTGGAGTACTGGGGTGCATTGTTTTTGCTACCTTAAGATTAACAGGATTGAAGGGAAATGTGATGAGAAGTGCTTCTCAACAGGCCTCCAGTAAGCGAAATATGCACACAAGTTCTATTGCTTGGACAACAAATCCATCTGCGGATTCTAATCTAGTCCCTGCTTATATCAAGGGGAATGGACTAGCTGGCAGATTTAAGAAG